TCTCCCAAAGGCAATAAATATGTAAGTCTGGGTTAGTTTACAGTTTTGAAAGCACCACCTTCTTAGGGAACAGGAAGAGTGTGAAAACCGCCTACAAAGCCTGCTGTCATTAGTGGGTGTCAAAGCCCACAGCTAGTCAATAATTATGAGAAGCCAAAAAGGCAGCGGGAACATGGCTAATTGAAGCAAAAGAGACGACAGAAAATGGGAGTGAAGTATGGCTTTTACTCTTATCTTACTCTTTTTTAGGAAGAGTGTAGTGTATATGGTTCTAATTCAGTCATTCCTCTACAGTGATCATGATGTTTGAGTTAGTAGTACATTTGAAAGTATATTTCATGAAATGTGAAGTAGACTTTTTTAAAAAAAAAGGATAGAAATGCTGTTACTTGCATTAGTTCAGGTCTGTGTTTATTTGGAAAGGATGGAGGAGAAGAGCTCCCGGCTGATGGGATGCACAGCAGGACTCCTGGAACACAGTTCTGCCTGAAACCAGATACTGAAATTCAATGAAAGAAAATCAAAATATGGAAATGGTTTTGACACTCTGTGACCATTTCTAGTTCTTTATGGACCCAGTCTTTACTCGGGTAATTTCCCTTTTGACTTCAGTGAGAGCTTTGCTTGCATATAGACCCTTAGGAATTGGCCCTAAAAGAGGAAGTGTTCTTCAGGGGAGAAAAGCACATTCTGTAACTTACAAAGAGGGGGTGTATCATGAAGAGAGGAGATCTATAATGGATATCAATTCAAACAGGACTAGCCATAGCCTTAGTGATGCCCCAAATTAGAGCAGTCTTACAAAGAGGGAGTACTGCAATTTAGTAATCAAGAGTGATTTGTAGCAGTAATTGTGGCTCATTGAGGAACCAAGGAGCGTGGGGGGAGGTAGGTTGGAGGGATTTAGTTTGAGTTCATTTGCAGTTTTGTTTGTCACACAGCTGTGTGTTTTCGTTGTGAAAGTCAGGCTGAATAAGAAGCCTCACGATGTCCTTCCCAGTTGGTTCAGCAGAATGCTTTTATACTCTGCACAATTTCCAGTCAAGTATCACAGTGGTGCCCAGAGACCTGCCCATCTCTTTAGTAGAAGCTCTTAAAAGCCACAGCAGTGGAAAACCTTGAGTCAGGGCATAGAATCATGGAATATCAGGGTTGGTAGGGACCTGAGGAGGTCATCTAGTCCAACCCCCTGCTCAAAGCAGGACCAATTCCCAACTAAATCATCCCAGCCAGGGCTTTGTCAAGCCGGGCCTTAAAAACCTCCAAGGAAGGAGACTCCACCACCTCCCTAGGTAACGCATTCCAG